CCACAACCACAACCACAACACCAACCACCACAAAAACCAATATAACACCAACATACTTTGATAAATTTAACTTCTTCAAAAACAACTACACCGCGTCCACTATGGCAAAACTCAACTACTTCCCCACCGCTAGTCCTAAAGTTGACTCCCGAACCTCGGAATTCTACAGCAAGATCAGCGCACTACCTGACGTCAACAACAGCTACTACAACGGTAACTTTACCAAGGCTTACGAAGACACGACAAATCGTGTCTGCGCCTATTGTAAAATGGTCGGCTGTTTCTTTGACTGCAGCAGCAAGTGTCCCGATATATGCGCCAATACTTACTTCAACTACAATGGGTAATCAAAACTTTCCCAGAATCTACTCATCTTGGTAACCAACATCAAGACACAGGTGCCCTCAATATCAAATGAGGATCAAAAAATCACACTCCTCATTTGATTTTCTAGCATACCACTACAGACAAAAAAAAAACGTTCAGTCGAAATTAACTTGTAAATGAAACATAAGATAATATAAGTGTATTTGCGTTTTAATTTTTGCTGCTCATGAATTACAACTTTAATTGCGTTACGGGCATTTATGAATGGGCTGATAGTTTTATCTTTATTTAACGTCTTATTCATATTGAGAATATGGTTACTTACAGTGACTTATGTAAAGATTGGAGGGAAAATTTATTTATGATTGTCTAGTCCGTCTTGAATTCAGCATACATTTCTACACACATGCACCTGGGGTGAACACTAATAAAATAAACATATTTGTTTACATTTTTTTAAAGAAACACATAGCCCTTATTTTAATTATTAAACATTTATTTTAATTTATGTACAGCTTTCTTGAGTTTATTTTTATTTAATTTTACAGTTTTTAATTAATATTTCCTATACTTGTCAACGTTTTTGGGTAACAACAAACTCAACTATTTACATTACATTATTATACACCCTTTTATTCCTCGCTTCGAGGTTTAATGATTTTTATTAATGTATACCTTAATGACTAATTAATTTTGTAAACAAATAAGTATCCAGTTTTGTATTTTTAAAATCTTCTTTCAGTTAAATATAACAAAAATGTGTTATTAAATTTCTGTTGTCTATGTGTGACGTATGTTAAAACAAAATATCCAACTAAAAAATATCCCCGATGTTTATTTAATTACTCTGTTTTATGTTTGGTGAATGCAAATATTGTTTTAATGAATATAATGCGATTAAATTATTAATTGTTTTTATGAAAAAGCTGTGTTCATTTTTTAAATTATCTATCTAAACACTAATTCGAAAGATGATGTTTCTACAACACATTGCTGTAGCAGTTCAGCTAGTTACGGATGACTCTTTACCTTACACTGAGAGTTCTTACTTATGGGGAGCCTCAAGTTTTCCCGAAAGACACTGACCCGAATGCCGTTTGCCCGAATGGACACTTGCCCAAAAGCGACAGACGCCCGAATGGACAATTGCCTGAAGGCCTTTACCCGGAAAAAAATTCATATCATAGATTGACAAGCAGGCTTTCGGGCATTAGTCGCATTCTGGCCAATGTCCATTCGGTAAAACGGCCTTTGGACAAGCGGCATTTTGGGATCTGTGTTTCGGCTATATTATAACACACTCTAACCCATATGAACTTTTTTTCAACACTTACCATAGAATCTAAAAACAAAAATGTAACATATATAACCCCATTAACTTGACTAACATTGCCTACTCCATAAGCCTTCATATTACAAATCTTTTCTAGGATCCCTCAAGGCACTTAATATCTCCTTTTGTGAGCCATTGTGTTCTATGAATATGGTCGGACGAAAACATCTACTCTTTCTAGTCAGCTTCACAATTTCAGCTATACCGTATAAGAAATAGATTTTATGCTGATGTGTATGTATGTATAGCAGTGTTTCTTTCAGAATGTTATCTCCCGAGGGGGGACACTTGATATTTTCTGGGGGCAGACTAAATTTTCTGGAACTATTCGGACCCTGGTATAAATATATATTTTCCTTATAAATTCCATTTCGTTCGCGTGCGGGGGGAGGGGGGGGGGGCGGTAGACTTTGAAGAGAAGCTAGGGAGAAACTCTGATGTAAAAGTGCCCTCATTGCTCTCTTAAATTGTATTAAAAACTAGAACGACCAGCGCTTTTGTTTTGTTTTTTGTTTTTACGGATACCGCTAATAAAACTATTTTTTTAAGGCATTGAAATTATTTGTATTATAAATTGTTTTTTTCTTTTAGTGTTCAAATACTGTAAAGATGCAAAGAGTCTAGTCGCTAATAAAGATGCTTACAATAATTTGTAAGATCAACTATATTTACTCTAAACAAACCAGTCGCCACACTAGATAGACCTTGGAGTGTCACTAATTTTCCCTTACAAAAAAATCCATACTACATTTTGATTTTTGCCTCTGATGGACGTCCGTCAGGCCTATGTGTTACAATAGGGCTTGTAAGTAGGTCACAACTTCTCGTTCTCGCACTTGCCAGCTAGTAGATTTCGAGACCGTAGACTTACACGCCCTAATGGTAAACATTGAGCGTGACACCAGTTCATCTGATGGATCTAGTGGTCGCTCCTGTTTATTATTACGGAAAACTAAAATTTTTAAATATTTTTACTACTGGTACTGGTGATTTTGAAAATATCTGTAAACTCTTCTTCGTTCTTAACCAGAGTTTCTTCCAGGCATCTCTTTCCTCCCCCCACCCCCCCCCCCCCCTGAAGAAAGTCTACCGCCTCCCCCCCCCCCCCCCCCCCCCCCCCAATGAAATGGAATTTATATAGAAAACATATACTTTTACCATTGTGCCCCCCCCCCCCCCCCCACCAAAAAAAAAACAAGTCTGGAAGAAACACTGCTCTTAGTTGTAAAGTTGGGCGGGATTCCCACCAACACAATCAAGTATTACGTGTCAACGTGTTATGCGCCATACGACCCGTCTACTCCGTCTTCAACCTGATTTTCTTTCTGGATTTTTTTGTCAAACAAGAAAAATCTGCAAGGAAGCAGTTGTTTCATTTTGGAACTCAGGACTTTTGGATAAAGTAATCATATGAATCCCTGCTCAGTTTCCATCCATTTGATTGGTTACATATCAGATGATAAATAAAAGCTTGTAAAAAATCAATAAATATTTATAAAAACAAATAAAGAGTAGTTAAAATGATTTTCGTCATAAGGGTGTTCTATAAAATATTATAGTTATCCTTGTTTTTCTGTGTAGTTATATGAATAGTTGTGCATTATTAAATATATAAAGAAAATTCTTTGTTCTTCTTTTAGTGTCTGTAAAAAATATATTTTGCCTTTACTTTGTTTATTCTAAACAAGTTAATAAAAAGTCTAGTGACAATTTAAGCGCAATTTCCTTATGTTATCTAAAAATAGATAGTGATCAAGTTTGTTTTTTAAAAATGTGAAAAAATGATTAGGCCTAGCGAAACAAAACCTTGTAGTTGTAATTCCCTATCACTCTCATATAAATTATAAATAAATTAATAGGGTACAAAAATAACGTTTGAATTAATAAGTATAAAATAAACTTATAGCAAGATCTCAAAGACAGCGAAAAATAGATTATTTTGACACATCCCTTTCCCCATAGATCTATATCTATATATTGCTATATAGTACTGTAGTGTATTATGTTCATAACCCGTAGCTCTGTCGTAGCGTAAAGCACACACGGGGACAAAACACAAGACCTATAATGCTGGGGTGCGTTCAAGCTAGGAGAACGATCGGTTTGTAGGTGTTTATGTAATTTTTTAAAAAAATTTGTGACCGAACGAAAGGATATTTTTGAAAACTTTCTTCGGCAATATTGTTCTAAATTATAGCAGGAATCGATTGGGAAATGTTTCAAGTCGCTAAGTGGTCTGGTTGCCGAGATATGGGCCAAAAACTGCATTTTTTTCGAGGTTTTTTTTTGGCTTTTCCGGGAAATCCAGGAAGGAATTCCGGGAATTTTTTTGGCCCGCATTCATTCTCGGAACTTGCTTAACATATTTGCTTTTAGAACTAGTCCTCGATATTGCTTCGTTGAGGAGGAGATAAGACTTAAAGCTGCGCACATCAATCCATCCATCCATCCAGAAATAACGAGTTAATAATCGCAATTGTCCAGTATGGAAATTGAGCTAAAATAGTATACAATGCTTTATAGCTTTAATCAAAACAGATCGCAAAACTAAAAACATTATCGCATTGAATGAACGTGTATTTGATTGAAAATAAACCGGGAGTGATCTCCCCTAAACTTTCTCGAATATTCTTAAATAAAATAACAGGGGATGGGAACTCGGGCTATAGACATGATTTTTAATCCACTTTAAATACTTAAAGTTTTAAAAATAGAATAAAATCTCCTAGACAAATTAATTGCACACCAAGTGAACGCCCAATAAAAAAGCGCATAATAGTGCGCAATATTATTAGTACTTTTAAAATTTACATTAGTTTTTTGAGAAATCGGAAGTAGCGTAAATTACTGCTTCCAGTCAACGGAAATTACTCAAAATTTAACAGAAGGTAGAGAATTACATCTTTTACTTACATGTGAAATTTCATTTATCTATCTGAAATAGTACTCAAGTTATAGGCTTTTGAAAAATTCAAAGTAGGAAAAGTACCACTTCCGGTTATCGGAAATCGCTCAAAAGTTGATACGGATCTACGATTTTGATATAATACTTATATATGAAATTTCATCAACCTAGCTGTAACGGTACTCAAGTTATCGTGTTTACACACGGACACACAGACACACAGACACACACACAGACATACGGACAAGATTGCAAAATTATGTTTTTCCGTATCAGTGAGGTGTAAAACGTCGAGATCTGTAAAAATCTCGATTTTTTTTTTTTGCACGATTACAATACTTTCTCTATACTTCGTATATACGAGAAAGTAAAAATCTAGGAATCCAATCAAATAAAAATATTGTATAAAATAAGTTGAACACAATTTATGCCTGCGAGTTTATTCATCTCTATACTTTTGTTCAGAAACAATAAATTTTTGTCTGATAATTCACATATCAAATTAAGTTTAATTACCCATTGTATGTGAGGTACTCTCTAGGACAGATTTCGGGGCATTAGGTTTAATTAACCCTTGTATGTAAAGTATGTTCTGGGACAGATTTCGGGGCATCTGGTACTGCAATCAAAGAGACAGCCGTTCATTTTACAATAAGCACAGACACGGTTTCTGGTATCCTCGTTAGCCTTGGTAATGTTACCGTTGTAGTAGCTGTTGTTGACGTCAGGTAGGGCGCTGATCATGTTGTAGAAGTCAAAATTCCGGACGTCAAATTTAGGACTGGCGGTGGGGAAGTAGTTGAGTCTTGACATAGTGGATGCGGTGTAGTTTTTGAAGAAGTTAAATTTGTCAAAGTATGTTGGTGATACAATTCGAACAGTAGAAGATGTTGTTGTAGGTTTGGTCGTGCTGGTGATGGTTCTGGTAGTGGTGATGGGTTTAGTGGTTGTGGTACTAGTTCTAGTAGTGGGGCTGGATTTTGTGGTCGTGTCCGAAAAGCCGTTTTGTGGAGAGATCGTTATGTCTGCGCAAGCGTAGAATTGCTCTTGTGGACCATAACCTATGCCACATCCGGTATCGTCACAGTTCCAGTCTTTGCCTGTAAAAAACATTTATCAGAAAAGTGAAACAGCAAAAGTTAAGTTTAAAACTTAAAAACTAAACAGATAAAGTAATAATAATCATTAAAAAAGTTTTAAAAAACCCACGTTTTCTGATTGAACTAAAAAGTAGAAAATAAATGTTATACATCACAATAATGCAAACGATCACTCTACTATAAGCGATGAATATATATATATATATATATATATATATGAATATATATATATATATATATATATATATATATATATATATATATATATATATATATATATATATATATACATATATATATATATATATATATATATTTATTTATTTATTTATTTATTTATATATATATATATATATATATATATATATATATATATATATATATATATATATATATATATATATATATATATATATATCGTCCTATAATGGTTTACTTATATAAGATTATATTCACTATTTGTACCATAAAATTGTTCAGTCTAGATACGGTACAATCAAAGACTCACCATTGTTCCACTTCCACTGCAACATGCAATGTTTACACGTTACCCCACGGGGCAGCACCACCGTGTAGGTGTAGAAGCCGGGCGTTGACCCTCCGATCTCAAACCTGGTCTTGCCTGTCTGGTTGGTCAGTAGGGTCTGGTCAAGACAAGCCTGGGTTGCTTCCACACCTCCAGTGCTGGCGATGTCACATAGACGAAACTCTATCCAGCCCTGAGAAATACGATTCATATATATATATATATATATATATATATGTGTGTGTGTGTGTGTGTGTGTGTGTGTGTGTGTGTGTGTGTGTGTGTGTGTGTGTGTGTGTGTGTGTGTGTGTGTGTGTGTGTGTGTGTGTATTACGGTCAAAGCCCGAAGTGCGCCCAATGCGCACATTGGCCGGCTTTCTTGGCCCAAGCCTTAAAAGCTTAGCACTGTGAGCGTATTTCGTACATTTGCCGGCAAATGCGCGCACTGTGAGTAACGTATTGTTTGGCCCTTGTTTGTATAGCATTCCGTATGCAATGCGACATGGACCAAAAGGGCCGTCAGACAATGAGACAGACATACCAGATGGCTGCCAAAATATTTCCGAACTAAAGAACATGTGGCCTGAACTTAAACTAGTTCACGGAAAACCAAAGCATAGCCAAAGCCAAGGTTCAGAAGAACGTGCCAACCAAGATGTTCAAACTATGATGATGACACGGATGCAGACAAATGAATCAGCTCAGTGGACTGAGAGTCTCAAATTCATTCACGTACGAAACCTTGTTTTGGAAGCAAAATTGGGGCTTAGCACTTCAAATCTACCGAGAGAGGCTCTCGATAATTTAGTTACTGAAGAAGATCATGAGAACATTGAACAAGAAATTGAGGTCGCCATAAATGCAACTACATCCTCAGCTAACACATCTGCTGCCATGTCGGAACGTCCAGACCAGTTGCGTGAAAATAATGTGGCCAACAGACTCTGTATAGTTTGTGAAAAACATTGTAGTGCAGCTCATTCTTGTGGATCCTGTGGCAAAGATGTCCATGCAATATGCGGAATAGCCAATGAAGCAGACGAATGGTACGGAGGAAATATTACCTGCAGATTGTGTCACAATAAACAAGAAATCATGGGCAACAGGTCAGTAGCTCATACTGGCTTGCAAACTCAAGGTGCTAAGATGCTTAAAACATCAAATACAAAATTGAAACAAGCTGAAGTGGGAGGAAATGTTCGGATCCGTATACCAGATGTTGACAGAGGTCGCGTGTGATGCCAGGAGCGTCATTGCAGTTGTCATGAGCGACGAGTACAATAAAATAATTTGAATGTTTCTGTCATTTACTTTAATTAATAATCAATAAAGACTTAATTTCATGATCCTTACGGTATAAAAAAAAAAGCTGCTGATTATCTTCTAATTCGGACCTTGGCCGGTCCACCATGGCCAATCCGCCGATTGGCCGACCAAATACCAAAATCAAGTAAAGTTTCGGACTTTGACCGGTCAATGGGAGGCGATGTTGGCCAATGCGTGCATTGGCCGGCTTCGGGCTTTGACCGTAACATGTATATATATATATATATATATATATATATATATATATATATATATATATATATATATATATATATGTATATATATATATATATATATACTTACTGCATATGCATACATATGTAGGCCTATACATATGACATGAATATTTCAAGATATTTATATCAAACTAGGCATGCTGCCCAGCTTCGCTTAGGCTTTCGAAAACATTGATAATTTGAATGCTTAATTAATTCGCCCATATAAGGCGCCGGTCAGTCGAGGTCAGTCTTGACCCCCTCATCGTAGACTTTTCGGCCAACCAACCCCCGTGTTCTGTCGCCCCAAGGCAAGATCCTGCCAAATTTGAAGCGCCTGCGGCGCCGGGAAGTGCCCTATCGGGCACCCGACAACTAAGCTTTATAGATCATCTAGATCTAGATCTAGAATCTCTAGATCTAGATGATCTAGAATATCTAGATCTAGATCAATATCTAGATCTAGAATATCTAGATCTAGAATCCAAATAGATAAAATAATTTTTTTTAAGTTTAGGCCGAGAAAATCGTATTGTATACATTTCATAGCGTACATAGCTCTAAATCATATTTGAATGAAATAGTTCATTTCTTTTTATTCTAAACTCGGAAGATGACGTCATCAGTTTCGTGCTCTTTTTTTAGTGTAAACAATAAGCGACGTCATTGTTAAATGCGTTCTTGTCCCAAATTTAAACTCTTTTCCGGTTGCATAAATAATACTGTTTCTCTACATACGAATACGCCTTTATTTTTTATTTTTCTTCTTTAAATAAAATTGTGGTTATACATTTAAAACATCTAACATATTATTTTCAACAAAAGTCCGTATAAAGGTATCCATATATCGCTGCCGATTTTGACGTGATATCCGGCGAAAATATTTTGCGGACAGACAGGAAGAGCGCACATGGCGTTTTATATATTAGGATATATATTTATATTTTTTATTTTTTAATGTGCATTTCACTCTGACGTCAGACCGGACTCACCAAGTGGCTGTACAAAATCTGTACCAGCACGGTGATGGTGCTGCCCTCTACATAGACCTTGGTGATGACGTTGTGCTGTACCATGGCACCGTCCGGCCTCTCGTACAGGCGTGGACCTGACCAGGGGTCACCACAGATGCCACACTTGCCGCCATTTTGTTGCCACTGGACCTAGAGATGGGGGTCAGTCATGTACATTACCTACATAATATGAACTTTTTTGCTTTCTCGTACACGAAGAACAGAGAAAGTATTGTAATCGTGCAAAAAAATTAACCGGGAGTGATCTCCCCTAAACTTTTTTCCAATATTCTTATATAACACTACGGGGGATGGCAACTCAGGATAGAGACATGATTTTTAATCCATTTTTAATTAAACTTTTTTAAAATAGATTATAATCTCATAGAAAAAAGGATTGCTCACCAAGGGAGTAACAAACAATATGTGTGTAATAGTCAGTTAGTACTTTATAAATTCATATGCGATTTTTGTGTGACCTCGGCATATGAAAGGATAGTGTGGTGAGCACTATGCCCAGCCGGCTTTTACTTTCCCTAACGTGAGTTAGGTACCCATCAGACGGTCTACTGACTGGAACCCGGATTCGAACACGAGACTGACGGGTTAGCAGTCTAGCTCTCTACCTTGCTGGGGAAGGAGGTTGTCAAATTCAATATCTTTGTAGACAAAATAAACGGTTGACCTCTAAAATAAAAATTTTAAAGTGCTTACAGTCCGGCCCCCACACATCATCTCATTATCCAGATGGTTGACCGGAACCTGGTATCCAGATATCCACGCTGACATGCGCGAGGGGGGATCCAACATCCGGCCATGGCCGCTGATCAATGACGGCAGTAGTGACGTCAAGAGACACAGCATAGGGAACTCAGAACCCGAGGTGAACATTTTCATCGTTGTCTAGGTGGTATTTGAAAAAAATATACTAGTTAAAATGCAACGATTGACTTGAATATGCACGGTTGAAAACATTAAAAAAAAACAATTTTGAAAGCAAGTATTTCCATTGTCTATAATTTCAGCGATAAGATACAATACTAGAATGAGTATTGACCTTTCCTGCATCATCGCATAGGGAAGATCCTCAGAGTAATCCATGAAGTTTAAATTAATGTTAAATTTAGATATATTTAAAATAGATATGTATACACTACATAGATCTCATTGAATGTATAATTTTTGTAAATCATTCGATACCCATATATAAAAAATGTCAAATAACTCTTACCCTAATAAACTTCAGTCCTAAACGTCACGATCATACTAACTTTAGACACTAATCCAATACCTTACAGCCTAGAGTATCACGACAAATATAAAACCTGTTTTATCACCCTGGTAAACAGAAAAAGCCTTAAAGTACCCATTAAAAAACAGAAATACTACAATATTTACCTGTAAAGGTCCATGTACTACTTGTGTTACGTTGTACTGCGCACTAAGAAACTGCTTGCAATTTTATACCAGCATCCCTTAGTAATTTATGCGGAAACCATATCGGGAGAATTAAAGAAACCTACCAAGATTCTTTGGTTCGTTTCATCTGCATATTTAGAGTAGACGAATAGTATTTTTTTATTTAATTGGGCAAACTCAAGTCCACTTCACAATTTGGTTAACGCCCTTGCCAGGTGTAGAGTACACAGAAACTCCATCATTTTCTAGGAATGTTTAGTGCACCGTGGGCTTCATTTGAATTTTAAAAGTGCTGCTACTTTGTTAGCACAGCTAACGTAACGGAAGGATATATTTAATATATAAGGTTAAAATGTGAATACACAACTATTACAAAATTAATACAATAATTATGTATATATATATATATATATATATATATATATATATATATATATATATATATATATATATATATATATATAATTGCTTTTTTCTTTTCAAAGAATCTTAATTATCCAAGCCATCCAGTGATGTAGTCATTCAGCCATTCAGCTAAACAGCTATTCAGCCATACTGCTGACCTGTTTCCAAACGATACAACTACCACTAAGCCAAGAGCGGTAACCAACAAACTCCCAACCCTCCCACGCCTGTAAGCCTCCACCTCTCCTACGCCTATAAGCCCCCACCTATCCCACGCCTATAAGCCCCCACCTATCCCACGCCTATAAGCCTCCACCTCTCCCACGCCTATAAGCCCCCACCTCTCCCACGCCTATAAGCCCCCACCTCTCCTACGCCTATAAGCCCCCACCTCTCCCACACCTATAAGACCCCACCTCTCCTACGCCTATAAGCCCCCACCTATCCCACGCCTATAAGCCCCCACCTCTCCCACGCCTATAAGCCCCCACCGCTCCTACGCCTATAAGCCCCCACCTCTCCCACGCCTATAAGCCCCCACCGCTCCTACGCCTATAAGCCCCCACCTCTCCCACGCCTATAAGCCCCCACCTCTCCCACGCCTATAAGCCTCCACCTCTCCTACGCCTATAAGCCCCCACCTCTCCTACGCCTATAAGCCCCCACCTATCCTACGCCTATAAGCCCCAACCTCTCCTACGCCTATAAGCCCCCACCTCTCCTACGCCTATAAGCCCCCACCTATCCTACGCCTATAAGCCCCAACCTCTCCTACGCCTATAAGCCCCCACCTCTCCTACGCCTATAAGCCCCCACCTATCCTACGCCTATAAGCCCCAACTTATCCCACGCCTATAAGCCCCCACCTCTCCTACGCCTATAAGCCCCCACCTATCCTACGCCTATAAGCCCCAACCTCTCCTACGCCTATAAGCCCCCACCTCTCCTACGCCTATAAGCCCCCACCTATCCTACGCCTATAAGCCCCAACTTATCCCACGCCTATAAGCCCCCACCTCTCCTACGCCTATAAGCCCAACCTCTCCAACCACTCCACCTTCGTTCAACAATTCCCACTGTAGGCATACCTTGTTACCAGAGCTCTGCTAAAGTAAGAAAACCGAAATAATATTAAAGGTTAAAAGACAACTTCTCAGAGGTCCGAAAGAAACAGCGCAAATAAAAATAGATGCGCTAAAACAAATTTATTCCACTGATACAGTTTCATTTGTCATATTTTGTGGAAGTTTGTTTTATTAAAAAACACTAAACACGTGGTTATTCTTTTTTAACGTTTTTGAATTATCAAATTAAAAATAAATAAATTCCGTGCACTGTTTTGTGCGCTATTCTCCATTTCAATTTACCTAGTCACCGTGCTTATAACGTCTAAGTAAACACACCACGTTTGAGTTGAGCTCATGGGGCCCAATGGGGAAGTTAGACAAGAAACGTCTGGCTAATGGATACAATACTGAGAAACACTTCACTTATTGAGGTGAAGAAAAAGAATTAATCCTATCGTTATCACATCAATAACATCTCTCCTGTGAGAAAGGGGGCAGTATTGCCCCAATGAGCACGCCCATTGCCCCTATTCTACGGCCAAAATAGGGAAAAAAAATCCTAGCTATCAAAAGTGGCGTCATCAAATACTATCAGACAAAATGTCGTAAGACACGAACCCCATTTCACTCGACTGAAGCTATGTCACGGCGTGGTCGAGTAGTAGAGCGCACGACAGCTAACCCAAAAAGTCTCCTTTAGTTCGGATCCTGGGCTCGAATCTGTGTCTGGTACTAATTAGTACCAGACACATTGGTAAAGGCGGCTGGACATAGTGCTGACCACACTATCCCTTCATATGCCGAAGTCACAGAAACAGGTGAACTCTAGTTCAGTATCCCCGTGAACCGTCAAGTTTGAAAGGGTAATGTTACATATATATATATATATATATATATATATATATATATATATATATATATATATATATATATATATATATATATATATATATATATCATTTTCTTCCTCTTTGCCTCAATGTAAGAAAGTTACACAAAATCCTTTTGTTACATACATGTAAAGCATGGGATCGCTTGTTTGATTGTCTTTGATTTTTTTTTTTGACTTTTTTTTTGACCACGTCAGCTAGCAGCAAGCTTGGGAATTCCCTGACGGCCCATTTTTATTAAACAAATGTTGTAAGAGTTATATATATATATATATATATATATATATATATATATATATATATATATATATATATATATATATATATATATATATATATATATATATAAAACTGTATATGTCTATTTGTTTTGTAATATCGTGCTGTCTAAATGTTAGCGTAACTTGGGATTCCCTTAACATTTGTGAAAAGGATGTCTGCCTGTATACTATACAATAAACCTTTTTTAGGAATGTGTGTTAGGGCTGTATGTAATGTCCGGGCTGGGGTAAGATTATGTTTGTCGAGGTCTAATTTTAGGACATGGGATGTATAGTAGTTCAGTACAGTATAGAATTATGTTTTTTCTATGCTGATACTCGAGTTAGGATTTAGGTAAGGGTGAGGAGTTTATATGACCGTGCAAGAACAGAGTTTCTTCCAGGCATCTCCGCCAAACAAAATGGAATTTATATAGAGAATATATACTTTTAACAATATCCGCCCCCCCACACACACCCCCACCCCCCCCCCCCCCCCCACCCCCACAAAAATTTTAGTCCGCCCCCACCTCCCGAAAATTTCAAGAGCCCCCCGAAGAAAAAAGTCTGGAAGAAACACTGTCCAAGAAGCAGATTTTGGCTTATGCTCCATATTAAGGATATCTATATCTAAAAATATATTCAAATCTAAACTAAAACAACAATTATCTAATGACCTTCTTATCTGAATCATTGCAACATTTCTCATTCATTTATTATATTCTCATTCTATATCATTTTGTATTATAACTATGTAATATTATTTCTTTATTCCAAATCTGAATGATATGCTACTGCTACTACTCCATCCTAACAATGCTGTTATTACGCTTTTTAATGTTTTGTTTTTTTAATTGAAAAAACTATTTATAGCGCACGATTAAATGTCGGAGCTTTAGGTTAACAATAACAATAATCACACAACATCCTAGCGCGCGACAACTAGAAGTAAATTGATGCACCAAATAGCCTTAAGGGGAGGTAAATCCCGCCACTTCAGAATTTAAACAAATGAGCGAAAAGTGTTTTTTAAAAGTAGGCTTACTAGCTAGCGACGCACAAAAGGAAGTGTTAATTTCTATAAATAGAGATGACAAGACTATTTGTAGATTTTTTTAAAGAAATAGTTGTTTATTAAAACAAATAAAAAAACATCGTACTACGCAGATAAAAATTTAAAAATTCCTCGTATAAGATTTAATCAAAGTTAGCAACATGGTACTACAATTAATGGTTATATCACAAATAGGGAGGTACAATTCTCTAGCAGCAATCGTTGATGACAGAACGCAACAGAATGGTGTTGTGTTCTGTTAAGTCAAAACTCCGTACTTCAATAATAATTTATTCCCACACTAAAAAAAATGTAAACATGTATATTGTAAAACTATTACCATTTAATTGTGTTAATTTTTTTAAAATTATTTTTAGTTTTAGTTTCCCTAATTGCTTTCTCTTGTAAGAAAATGTATAGTAATTTAGCACACAAAAATATAAAAGATTAATTAAGGTGATGACAACTCAGGACTTTTTTTTCATCTTTTTGAGTCGAAAACCCGAGTATGTTATCTTGTTTGTATGTGTGTGAGTGTGTTATAACACGATAACTCCATTAACGTTTTTTGTGGTGGAGTTTTATACATAAGAAATACATCATACACATAGGTTTCTTTACGCTTTGAGTGATTTCCGGTAACCGGAAGTGAAACTCACTATTTCCAGTTTTTTAAAAACCGATAACTTGGTTACCTTTTTAGTTAGGTCGACGAAACTTCATAGATAAGTATTAGATCCAATAACTAAAACTCTCTCGACTTTTAACCAATATCTGGTATATGAAAGTGGTACTTTACTCTATTTCCGTTCTCGCAGCAAAAACTTTAGGAATTTGATTAATTTCACAGAGGGACTTCACTCCCGCTTTATTAATACGTTTCACATATAGAAAGGTTGGTGTTGTTTACATTTACATCAAGTTAAAGAAATCATATTTTGTTGTTTTAAAAGAGGTTGGTGATGGAAAGAGTTAGAATTAGTTTGAGGTTTCGAATGGCACGTTAACATTAACACACAAAGATCAAGTATACTAATTACAAACGTTTTATGATGTATAACTTATACATACATCTAACATTATATATATATATATATATATATATATATATATATATATATATATATATATATATATATATATATATATATATATATATGAGGTTCGTTTTTTGTCGACTCACTCCAGTGTTCAAACAAGGTGAGTCACTCTAGTAATTTTCCCACTTTTTTTCCCGGTGTGCAAACATTGTAGGTACAAGACCGATTCAAAAGCGACCTATAGCGTCAACTAAATCTCCATACAATGATAACGTCCTGTGTCAACTTTACATCTACGTTCTAGAATCTACAAGCAGAACTGGTTTTATGTTTACCGGGTTTATTATAAAAGGATATTTTTAATTCGTTCTTTGAGAAAACCAGGATGGAACGAAACAAAGAAATTTAGGGAAAGTTCCTTATACTTATCCGGGTAGTTCTGTATAAATGAGTGGGAACTTGGGTGGAATTGAAGAGCTCAGCTAGAGAGTTAAGCAGACAGCAGTTTATTGAGAGTACTCAGTACTTGGTCTTACGAAGAAATACTACAGGTAAAGTATCAAGATTTTACCTTTTTTTTTTACTTCACGTCTATACGTTGATGGTCGCAGATTGTGTAGTATATTGGTATTGAATAGAGCCAGCTTCATTTAGAAAGGTTTAGGTATAGAGTTTGGTTTAAATGTCGGGTTACGGATTATATATTATTAGGATAAAATATAGAACCTTAATTTTTTTTTACTTATAGTTTTGGAAGTGAGATGTTAATGTAAGATGTAGGACTAAGCTATCGTTTGTGTTGATACTTATTTCTAAACATAACGAAGGATATGTTGAACAGTTACAAAAATAACATTTATAAGTAAACAAGAAACTCATACAATTAAAAACAAATGAAATTTCTTTGTAATTTTTTCAATGAGTTTGATAATTTGATTCTTTTTTGGAAAAATCAGGTTTTGTGGAAATAGTTATTTGGCATCTTACTGCTAAGGCAGTTGCAAAATAAATATCATTGCTGTTCTTGTCAATTTCGATGATATAGTACATAATTGACAAATATGAGAGTTGTTTCGAAATGTACTTTTAAGTTGTAGGCAGCGTTATTAAAAACAATGTGGTTATTTTAACGTTATTGTGAAGGTTTTGTCTGGCATGGCTAAAGACTTACTGTATTTGTTGTTTTTAGTATTTTTGTTAACTAAATAATATTTGTTAAAGGTAAAAAAAATATTTCTTACTGAAGATGTAAAAACAATATTGCATAACTAGGCCGTAAGTTTTTGAAAGGTGTTATTTATTTAAAAACTTTAACGTTAAAGTTTTTAGTATACTCAAATTACTAAAGATTAGTATAAGGTGGCGTTTTCAGGAAATCAATCATGTAGTTTCTGTACAACCAATCAAGGTTTGTATTACTAAAGTAAAGCTTCAGGTTACAGTTTTGGCTTGATGAAAATGAAGTCTTAGACGCGAAAATATTTGTTTCAAGTTATCCGCTTTCGCAACTTTTAGGAAATTGATTTTAAAAATATTACATTTTTCAGGATTAAGTTTATTTTTAATTTTTATGGCCGCTGTAAAGGCAATTTTTTTAAAAAATACAATTTTTATCCATGTCAACAATACTGATGGAAGCAATTTTGTCAAACTCAACTCTTTGTTATCATCTAAACTAAATTTTTAAAAAATAGCTCTGAATCCTAAAATATTATGAGTATGTGCAAATATAATCATTTTAAAAGTATATATATATATATATATATATATATATATATATATATATATATATATATATATATATATAATAATATATATATATATATATATATATATATATATATATATATATATATATATATATATATATATTCAGTTTCATATGAATACAAAACGCTTATGCTCTTTCATTTTGTTCCCTAGGCAACGATAAAAATGTTTACCCCGAGTGCTGTTCTCAGCCTTTGTCTGATGACGTCACTACTGCCATCACTGACCAGCGGCCATGGCCGGATGCTTGACCCTCCCTCGCGCATGTCAGCGTGGAGGATGGGATTTCCGGTTCCGGCAAATTACGACGATCACGGGATGAACTGCGGAGGTCGCGAGGTGAATATTTCACATTTGTAGCTCCTGTGGACATAAAGTCTCAACCCCACCCTAGCACCTGGGGACAGGTTGTAAGGTCTAACCCCCCACTCTAGCACCTGGGGACATAAGCTCTCACCCTTGCACCTGGGGACATAACCTCTCACCCCCACCCTAGTACCTGGGGACAAAAGCTCTCACCCCCACCCTAGCACCTGGGGACATAACCTCTCACCCCCACCCTAGCACCTGGGGACATAACCTCTCACCCCCACCCTAGTACCTGGGGACATAACCTCTCACCCCCACCCTAGCACCTGGGGACATAACCTCTCACCCCCACCCTAGTACCTGGGGACATAACCTCTCACCCCCACCCTAGCACCTGGGGACATAACCTCTCACCCCCACCCTAGCACCTGGGGACATAACCTCTCACCCCCACCCTAGCACCTGGGGACATAACCTCTCACCCCCACCCTAGCACCTGGGGACATAACCTCTCACCCCCACCCTAGTACCTGGGGACATAACCTCTCACCCCCACCATAGTACCTGGGGACATAACCTCTCACCCCCACCCTAGCACCTGGGGACATAACCTCTCATCCCCACCCTAGTACCTGGGGACAGGTTATAAGCTCTCACCCCCACCCTAGCACCCCACGGGCTGAATTGTGAGGCTAAGTAAAATGGTGTGGTTAAATTATGGGGCTGGTTTAACTGGAATGGTTAAATAGTGAGGCTAGTTCAATGAGTTGCTAAATTTGGTGGCTAGGTTGAATGATAATTAAGTTATGGTAATTAAGTTTAATTACGTGGCTAAATTTTGGGCTTAAGTTACATGGCGTGGCTAAATTTTGGGCTTAAGTTAAATGGCATGGTTAAATTTTGGGCTTAAGTTAAATAGCATGGTTAAATTTTGGGCTAAAGTAAATAGCATGGCTAAATTGTGAGGCTAGTTTAAATGGATGACTAAATATTGATGCTAACTTAAATGGCATGGCTAAATTAGGAGGCTATGTTAAATGGCTTGGCTAAATTATGGAGCTAGGTTTAATTGTATGGCTAATTTGTAAGGTCAAGGTAAATAGCGTAGCTACCTTGTGTGGCTAAATTAAATGACATGGCTAAATAGTGAGGCTAAGTTAACTGACGTGGCTAGGTTAAATAACCGTCGTGGCAAAATGTTACAGAACACTTGTGTTGCAGGTCCAGTGGTACCAAAATGACGGCAAGTGTGGCATATGTGGAGACTCCTGGTCAGGCCCTCGTCCATACGAGAGGCCAAAGGGCGTGATGGTCCAACATAACGTCATCACGAAAACATACGAAGAGGGATCCACACTCACCATAACCATATACATAACCAGGGCACATAAGGTACGACATTTAACATACGCATAATGTAATCAAAGGTATAAACACCATGACATATAAGCTAGCATGTATTTATTAATGTAGTGTATTTAAAATATGTGGTTTGTAACGTAGGAAGAAGACGAAAGTATTTAAGTCTCACGAATGATTTGGTTGCTAATGAGTTAATGTTGTGTAGGCCTATTAAAAACACAAAACCATATCAACAGGTACTCACTTGAAACAAAACAGAATATAATTAAAATACAATTTATTTTATATTTACTATAATGCATAATTACGTACTGTATGCTTTCATTGAGAACTTATGGGTCGTTCATCAAAGATTTGACGCTTTTAAATTCAATATTTACACTTCGCGCCCTACGTTTTCGACCTAAAAAAAATCTAGATCTCTTAGAATGAATTAAATAAATAATTGATTTAGTTGTTTAACAGAAATATATGACGTCTGCGAATAAACGTTGCTTGAAAATAGGGTTGTATACACACATACAACATAATTAGCGAGGACGATTAATTTTTTTTTTCTTGATTGTTTCTGTAAAAACCTACATTACAAATATTGACTTCACGAACCCAAAATTGATGCAAAGACAAGAGTTACAGCTTAAAGGTTAATTTTTGAACAATTGTTAATTGAATTCATTTTAAGAACGGCGTGCCCGGGGGGGGGTCAAAAGGTCAAGAATCTCGGGTTCGTTTTCTGGGTTCGAATCCGTATCACGGCCCCGAGTCCACCAAACTTGCCATGACTTAAGTTAGCGAAAGCAAAGTTACTGGTTATAGAACTAACCACACTGTATGCCGATGGCACAGTGACACATGAACTCTACTTCACCTGCTCCTAACGTCGGTCCGGCCCGAAATGACATCTCTGTTACTCGTGAGTTGGTCTGCACTATGTCTGCTGGTAAATTGACATTTTAACCCTCTCAGGGCTGGAACGAGTTCCGGATATGCGATATCGATACCAACGGCGGCGTGGAGGCCACGCAGGAATGTTTGGATAAAAACCTGTTGACGGACGATACCGGGAGTAGTCGATTCTACTTTGATGTCGATGAGGACTTCATGGCGCATTATTACACAGTGAACCTGCCGGCAGGTCTGACGTGTAAACATTGCCTGCTGCAGTGGAAGTGGAAGGCAGGTGAGTGATGCTGTCTTTTAACTTTCTCCTGTAGTATTTTGTCGTAGGCGATGGGGTGTTCAAGTTACTGTTAAAGGGGGGGGGGGGCAGAATTTCTTTCAGGCATCTCTTCGGGGACGAAATAGAATTTATATAGAAAATGTATACATTTACCAGTATCCGCCCCCCGGAAAATTTAGTCAGTATTCCCCCCCCCCCCCCCATCCCCATCACAAAATTTCAAGCACTGCCCCCCCCCCCCCCCCCCATGGAGAAAATAGTCTGAAAGAAACACTGAAGTGGGCAGCGCTGTACATTACCCTTATCCAGTGAAATGACCGTCGGGTCAATTACCCCCTTTTACTTTACTTCCAGTCCAGATGCAGTAGGACAATATCCCTAAATTTATCCCCTCCCGCCTAAGATCATTTAGAGATAGATTCATATAGGGGTAGACGAAAGATATGTTAGGGATAGGGATAAGATTAGGGATTGTGATAAGGATGTGATTAGCGATACGGTTAAGAATAGGGTCCGGGTTATAGAACAGTCATAGATGGGGATAGGGATAATGATATGTAGGGATAGGGCCAAGGGGGAGGGGTAATTTTACAGAAGGGTGTAGGAAAATTGATTCGGATAGGGATAAATAACCGGGAGGGTTGGGATAATGGACTTGTTAAATGGTGGTGGTTAGTTTACCCTAAACCTAGCCTTAATCCATTGCTACTGTAGGTCTGTTTCATTCTTTATATTTGTGTTTGCGACACTTAAAGCTAATATTGTTATACTTTCCGTTGTTCTATATTTATCGTCATACTTTATGTCGTTCTATATGTATTGTTAAACTTTATATTGTTCTATGTGTAATATATTTCTGTATGTTTTTCCATATGTATTTTTGTATCCAGGCAACAGCCCAGGATATGGGGAAGCGCAAGAAGAGTTCTACGCATGCGCAGATGTGACTGTAGTACCCGGAAGTGTAGAGACGGATAAACCCAATTCACAGTCACAAGAAACCACATTAACTACATCGGTTACCACAACAACAGCAACCACACCAGCCACTACAACCACACCAGCAACAACAACCACATCAACCACAACACCAATCACATCCACAGCCACACCAACCCCTACTACAACCACAGCAACAACCAGCTCAACAGACACGACAACCGACTCACAAACATCTACACCCCTAACAACCCAACCCAGAGAAGAATCAACCACGGCCACACCAACCCAAAAAACTGTTACCAACTTTAATTTAATTAATTTCTTAAAGCCCATCAAATCATCCATAAACACGGGCCCTAAGCTTTATATACCAGGCGTATTTGTCTAATTCCCGATCTCAATTCCCGAGCATTACCGGAAACTACCGATCTCCATGCTCTGAGATTATCTGCGGAAACTACCCTTTCAAGGCCCATTTGAATACTAAGGTAGACCGTAGTATTTTAATAATACAAGTGTCGTCCTGTATAGCCACGATGCTATTTGGTTTATTTGAATAGGTAACCGGTTTAAAGAGACGGTAGAAATAAGGGAGACGTTGGCCCATCCCTAGTTACACAAATTGCTTTTTTCATTTATTTTATATATATACTATGATATATATTTACTTTACATAAGCTTGTATTGAGAACTAAAGGGTCGTCCATTAAAAAAAAACCTGATGCTTTTAACTCTGGTATTTACCAATGACGCCCGACGTTATTTGTCAAAAGATCTAGATTAGATCTCCTTAAAATGACGTCACAAACTTTGGCCACCACCACCCTTAAAATAACCATAACACATGTTTTGACGCCATAGTTTATCTATTGAAATGTTATATCACACCCCCCCCCCCTCCCCCGTCACAAAAGTCTGAACCAATGCAACTGATGAGACGCCTTTTATGGACGACCTTTAATTTTAATATTCTATATTCACGTTATTTTATGCTAATTTATTTTATATTTTTAAGGGAGATTTTATTTATTTTTAGCTCTATATGTGTCCTCAGTGATATGTACAGCATTATATGAATTTTATGTTACAATTTTTATTTCTGACGTACAATTGTGTAAGAGGGTAACTGTTTTCCTGAATCTTTTTAAGGCTAATGTACCCAATGGCTTATAGGCAGGGGCGCAGTGAGGGGGGGGGGGGGGCGGACTGCACCGGGTGACATCATTTAGGGGGTGACACCAAGGCAAAAAAATAGCAAAATAAATAGAGAAAAACTCGAGGGGGGTGCAAATCGAAAACTTGAGGGGGGGGGGGGGTGCAAATCAAAAGTTTGAAAGGGGGGGGGTGCAAATCGAAAACTTGAAAGTTTGTCCCCGGGAAGGGTCGCTAAGCCTCTGGGGGGTGACACCATTTAGTGCCGCACCGGGTGACACCCGACCTCGCTACGCCACTGCTTATAGGACTCATTAAATGTTTAAATTTTTAAGTATTTTAATTTTTGGTTAATGTTATAACCTTGGTAAGGGGTCGAGGATTATTTTTAGCTAACCCACTTTGTTATTTTTTTCTGTTTAATAATGTAAGATGCATTAGCGTTGGAGTTTGCTGGGGTTGTTTTTTTCTGACAATTCAAAATGTAAAAGTTAAATTACAATACAAAAATAGATTATCATCGTATTTAGATCAAATATTTCTCAATTAAAAAGTTGTTACACTCCAACTAAACCAGGTTTAATCCTATGGTTAGGGTTAGGGTTAGGGTTAGGGTTAGGGTTAGGGTTAGGGTTAGGGTTAGGGTTAGGGTTAGGGTTAGGATTAGGGTTAGGGTTAGGGTTAGGGTTAGGGTTAGGATTAGGGTTAGGATTGTAGTTAGAGTTTGTCGTCAATCCCATCTGTAAAAGAAAGACGGACCGTCTAGTTGACAAACAACGCTCAGTAATGTTGTTCATAATGTTGTCATCTTATACCTCAATGTCTCCATATTATCAGATGGTAAGACAGTATTCATTTATTATAATGATTGCAAATAATTTTATATGATGTAAAGATTTTTATGAGCTAATGCATGTGTAAAACTAATCCTGGTCCAATCTCATGTTAAATTTTTTTATTATTTGCATTGTGTCCATTCATGTATGAGTTCATACGTTTAGAAATAAAACAATCCATATGTTGTTCAGTCAAAAAGTCAAACCAAAGCCCATTAGAGCCCAATGATATATGACTTCCCATGTGTAAATATGTTTTGGTAATTTTGTTGACCATGTTAACAATTATTTACACATACCTTGCACATACCTCCTTTTGTTTTCACTCTGATATTATGCTCAAATAAATTATTTTTTATAACAATTTTTTGTTTCAAATCTTTTTTGAAAAACTGAAAAAAATGTGCTGATGGTGTAGATGTATACCTACATTCCTACCAAAAAAAATATATTTTAGCCGTTATTTCGCGTTTTAGAAAATTGTTTTAATAAATTGTAATAGGAATGTATTAAATACTCTATGTTAACAGAGTTCAGACAAAATTTTGGAAAAAATATCGTATTTTAAGAACAATTCAACTGCAATTTTGATGGGGGGGGGGGGGGAGGTTGCTGGCTGAGGCGTGACGTTATTTTAGGGGAAGTCTGGCTTTTTATGACGATGTGTGACGGAGGGAAGGGGGGGGGGGGGGGAATCGTCAAAATGATACAACCAACGATTGCCGCTAGAGAATTATATCTCCCCATTTGTGATATTATCATTTGTAACACCACGTTGCTAAAGTTGTTTAAATTCGATACGATGGATTTATTAATTTTTCTGCGTATTACTAAAAAATATCCACAGTGTTTGTTATAACTGAGTCCAACCCCCCCTCGCCCCACCGCTAGTGGGTATCTACCCCACCCCCTCCTGCCTAACACCTGAACTGGGACACAATGCATCAGTCCCACCTAGCATTTTGCAGGCGCCCGTCCCTCCCCCTCGCTGGAATGCCGGGGTCATGCAGGGGTTAAGGAACCCAAAGGGTGAAGCTTGGGCCAGAAAGATAGGACAGTTGAACGTTAGGCTTGCTAGGATGTAGTCGTATTTTGTGTCTTGGGTGTGTGATAGGGCTCGCCCCTAAGGCCGGCCGCTATTAACAGAGCCGGCGTTAGGGGTACGCGGGGCCACTGATGTAACATACACATTTAATCGTGCGCTAACCTTAATATGGAGCATGAGCACAAATGCTTCTGGCACGGTCAGAGTTTTATCCAGGTATCTCTTCAGTCCCTCCCCCCCCCCCCTCAGGGAACGAAATCGAATAGTAGAATTTATCTAGAAAATATTTCCCACCCCGGAAAAAAATATTTAGTCTGACTCCCAACTCCCACACCCAGTAGAAAAAATGTCTGAAAGAAACACTGGGCACGGTCATATCAACTAACCCTTACCTTAATCCTAGCCTTAGTATCGGTATATGAAAAAAAATTCTATACTGTACTGAGCTACTGTACATGCCATGTCCTAAAATTAGACCTCGTCAAATATAATCTTACCCCAGCCCGGACATTACATACAGCCCTAACACACATTCACAGAAAATTCTGTATTGTATATAATACAAGCAGACATCCTTAGGGGTCATCCATACATGACGTCACGCTTTTTTGACGATCTTTACCTTCCCCCCACCCCCTCCCCTCCGTCACACATCGTCACAAAAAGCCATACCCCCCCCCCCCCCCGAACGAAATGGAATTTATATAGAAAATATATACTTTTACCAGTGTCCGCCCCCGCCCCCCCCCCCCCCCCCCCCCCCGGAGAAAAAAGTCTGGAAGAAACACTGGGTTTGTCCACCTTGGTTACATGGCTATCACGTCTTTGAAACGAGGGCTTCAAACGTTACTTGTTCGAAATTCAAAAGTGCGTCGTCACTCGTCACACCATTTAAACCTACCTTCTCCTCCTCATCAAAATTCGTCTCAAATTAACCCACCCCCTGAGTTTCTTTCAGGCATCTCTAAGAAAAAAACTCTGAAAGAAACTCTGTGATTGTAGTAAATTTATCGTTAGTGCTTTGCTGGTATAATTTACTTATGTAGTTTTCGGTTGTTAGTTTAAAAACTTGTGGGAAAATAAACACAGGCCTATCTGTTGAAAATTATTATGCTTAAATTAAAATATTAACAAATTATAAACACTACAATATTCAAAATTCCAAATCTAGACTTGTACGCAACCTAAAAAAAAAATATAAATAAAAATGATTTGCCTTAGAAAAAAAAAGTCTTAGTAATAATATTTTTAATACAGATTTTAGAGTAAGCTCCCTTTGTTGTAAATAGCAGTACACAAAGAATCAAAGATATGGACTTTGGTTTGAGTGCATTAGGATAAAATAGTCTAGGCCTAATTAAAATCTAATAGAAACGGTATATTATATAGGCCAACATCGTCCAAAAATTTATTATTTAATAAAAGCAGGCCTAAATTTAACTATCATTTTCTGGCTATAATAATATCTTTAATCTTTAGTTACTAGATCTAGATACTAGTTTAGTTAGTAACTTAAACTTAAAACTTAGGCCTACTGATTCCTACTGAACTACTGACAGAAATCAGAGTCAACTGAGTGTGTAGTGATGTAGTGTAACTGTATCGACTGTACACTGAGTAACACTGTAGCTACTGTAGGTAGGCTTAGGTCGGCATAGGACTACTGGGCTACGTCTATGCTTAAAAATACCAACTAGACCTAAATATAACTATCAACTCATTCAATCCTTGGGGGGGGGGGGGGGTTGTTTACATTAAAGTCCAATCCTAGAATCTTCTTTTAAAAGGGGTGTTAGGTTACTAGATCTAGTAGTTAACTAAAATACACATATCAATTCGAACCCCAGCCTAGTCCTACCATTTGCCTATCCTTAATTTGAATAATTTCTAACCATAAAACTAGTGGAGATTACAATACTACTAACAACCTAATTCAGTATACACCTATTTTTGAAAGAGTCTATTATCTGACATCCATATCTTCAATCATCCAGCCTTTCTACTGGTCATAAAAGTAACTCTACTTGTAAAACAAGGATGTTGTAATGTTATAATAATTTTTTTTTTTTTATATTTTCTATAGAAAGATATTTTGCACCCCTCATGATGGATGAGATGAATGTGTGAGTGTTTCCAGATCTTTCCTGAATTTCCAAAATGAGGCTTTTATCTGGGCAGTCTTCTGCCTACATCACCTACACCAAGCATGCATTCCTACCTATCAGGTGCACCCAGGTTTTGAGGCTCAGGCCTGCAACCTTTGTTTTATGCCAGAGAAACCTCGATGCTAAATATAACTCTAAACCAAACTGGAATACCAAACATATTTCTACATTAAGTTTACCGTCAGAAAAATTAGCCTCTCAGCATTTAAAAAAATGTGTACTTGGAACTCAACACAATAAAAATTCAACAGGCAGTAATGAAAATATAAAAGGGTTTTACAGAAACATTTCTCTAGCTTTAATAACAGGATGGATTGCTTATCAAACCTACAGAAGTGATAGAACAAGACGGAAGTTTTTCAAGTTTGTGACAACTGCCACTTGTGACACTACCCCTGACAACTGTGACAACACAAGTGCCATTGACAGCTTCAAGTCCAAAAGTCACAAGCCTGTCAAACAACGCAAGAAATGTGGGTCCCATAAAACTAAGGTCTCTCTCTCTGAGGCAATAGACAAAGCCAGGGAACTTTGTATAAGGAGGAAGGTTTGTTTCATATATACTTTAAGTATTACATTTTGAACATTTCAGAACTTCAGGGCCTATGAGGAGGAAGGTTTGTTTCATGCATAAAGTATTTCATTTTGAAAATTTTAAAAAATTGTATAATGGGAGGTTTGTTTAATGTATACTTTAAGTATTAAATATTTTAAGTTTCCGAACTAATGTAAACACTACTTTACCATTTGTAATGCGTATAGATCTACTCCATGAGTACTAATATGTAGGTCTTTGGAATGTAGTAAAAACAAAGTTAAGTACACTACAGTTAATGGGCCAGATGAAGTAGAGTTTATTTGTTTCCTTGACCCCATCTATAGGCCTACACATCAGAGTTTAGTTAAATTTACAAAATTCATCAAACTCAAGTTGGCCATAAAATGCTCTACCACCATGCCATCCCATTTGTTTTCTGTAAACTTGCAGTTCAAGATTGAGTTCCTATAAAAATAATTGTTATTTAGAGGGTGATTTTTGTACTTGTTGCCAGTTCTTTTCTATAATACAAGTCGCAAGTGTAAGCTCGGTGTTAAAGTATCTGTACACAAATTTCCTCTTATTAATTAGGCCCATAAACAATCTTCTTCTTAATCCCATTCTTGCCCAAGACACATGGGGCAGATGAAGTAGAGTTCATCTGATTCATAGACCTCGGCATATGAAGGGATAGTTTGGTCAGCCCTATGCCCAGCCGCCTTTGTTTCCCTAATGTAAGTTAGGCACTCATCATAGCTGGGTAGACTCAGGGACGTTCCACTGATTTGAACTCGGAGTTGAACTCAAGACTCTCGGGTACCGCTATGCCACGCCGTCCCCCCACAAACAATAGTCTAAATTTTTAATACCATGTTTTGCCTGATTCTATCAAATATATTTTTTTTTAAATCAGGATGAAGTAGGCAGCCCTGGAATTGTGATTTGTGTGAGTGTAGATGGCAGACAGGTTTATGCTGAGGGTAGGTTTGCTGAGATTTTGGTGGGGTCACTTAGTTAGGCTGTATCATGCTGTTGTGGCTTTTAATTTTTTTAATGAGACGTTTACTTGTTTACTGTATAATTAATCTTGTTTTAAATTATAATAAACGGTGGGGAAAACCCAACTTAAAGTTTAATAATGTACCTCTAAACACAAATAATTATTTGGTATTAATATGTCAGTGATGTTATAATCTCCAACCATCTTTAATAATGTACCTCTAAACACAAATATATTAATGGTTAATAATATCTCAAGTGATGGTATGGTCTCCAACCATCTTTAATTTCCCTAAAGAGAGCCACGTAACCATCAGATGGACTGAGGATGCCTGGGATAAGGCGAGTACGTTATTTATGTATGTTATTTATTACGTAACAACCTCACCCCCAGGTTTTGGTTACGCTGACCTAGAAAACCACACCCCCATGCGACCGTCCTCCATGCTGCGTATCGCCAGCATCAGCAAGTCTGTGACTGCGGCCATCATGGCGCGCCTGTGTGACCAGAACCTTCTAGACCTGGACAAGCCTGTCCAGCACTACGTCCCAGAGTTCCCTGTTAAAGAGTTCATGGGAGAGAAGGTTAAGTCAGTGCTTGTTGTCTTTGTTTATTTATAGACTTTGTACACGATATTTCCTGCTTAAAGAATGTGTACATTACCTGTTTATTTATAAACTTTGTACACGATATTTCCTGCTTATAGAATGTTCATTACCTGTTTATTTATAGACTTTGTACACCATATTTACTGCATATAGAATGTGTACATTACCTGTTTATTTATAGACTTTGTACACCATATTTCCTGATTATAGAATGTGTACATTACCTGTTTATTTATGGAAACTGTACCACATCACCTGTTTATTTAAAGAATGTGTACAACATTTGTTAATTTATACAATTCTTAACACATTATTTGTTCATGAATACTATTTGTACCTCATTAGCTGTTTATTTGTAAATTATATATTTAATTAGCTATTTGCTTTTCATTTATACAATCTGTAACATATTAGGAGCACAACCAATTTGGATAAGCGAAGGGGGGTACTACTGCAATTTTATGAAACATGTTTACCTTAAACTTTTTTAACATAAGAAACAATAAAGGGAAGTAACTAATAAAAATGTTAATCTTAAATCTTAGTAATAGTGACATTTCCTTATTCCCAAGATGTATGTCATTTATGTTCCCATTCATGTATGTTATAACCTCCCCCTGCTACAGGTTGAAATAACAGTCAGACAACTGTTGAACCACACTTCAGGGATACGGAGCTATAAGACCTCCAAGGACCCAGTTGCTGCCCTTGATAAGCCAATACACAATTTGATTGAGACGTTCAACACAGCAGCCACAATGCCCTTCTATGTTGCTGTAAGTATAACCAAGCCTGCCTTTAACTGTGAGTATAGCTGTAACTAACTCTGCAAGTCTTCTACGTCTAGGTGTTAGTACTTTTACCCTAAATGTAGCTGTAACTAATTAAAACAATTAACGAAGGATCAGCGTGGTCGGGTTGGTTAAGTTCATGGTTGCCAGACCTAAAAGTCACAAGTTTGAATCCCCGGGAAGATGAGGTTCGAAAGATGGGGACAGCCACCCATCTAGGAGAAACAACTCCAAAATCAAACAACTGCTGCCTTGTAGTTTGTTCTTGGACAAAGGCTTTGGAAGCAAATCCAAAAAGAAAAGCAGGCTGAAATTGTATGCTGTATAACAAGTTGACAAATATACTTAATTGTGTTGGAGGGAATCCTTTTCAACACTAGCATTAAAAACAAAGAAGAAGAAAAGACAATTAGCTAATATAAAATTTCCAGGGCACATTATATTGTTCACTGCTGTTAGGGGAGATAATGCAGAAATAAATTATTTACAAATTTCCGTAAATATTTTTAGTAAGCATTCAGATTACAAATCTTTCTTTGAACATTGTTTTTTTTAGTAAAGTATATTATAAAAGCTTGTTTTAAAATGTATTCTTATCTATATTTTGTGCAGGGGCCAGAAAGGAAGGCAACTACCAAAAGCACTGCATCCAATATTGAAGATAGGAACGATATCACTATAGATGTGGGTGGTAAGGATGTTTATCAGGCAGACGGCAAGGAGTTTTACCTGACAGAGAGATATGCCAGCACTAAAGACGCCTTGAACCTGTTCAAAGATGACCCACTTGTTTCCAAGCCAGGTTGGTCCCTGGTGCCTTTGTTGGTGTTTCTGTGTGATTGTGTTTCTGTGTTTTTGTTAGTGTTTATGTGTCTTTGTTGGTGTTTTTTTGTCTTTGTTGGTGTTTCTGTGTGTCTTCGTTGGTGTTTCTGTGTGTCTTCGTTGGTGTTTCTGTATGTTTGTTGGTGTTGCTGTGTGTCTGTTGGTGTTTCTGTGTGTCTGTTGGTGTTTCTGTGTGTTTGTTGGTGTTTCTGTGTGTTTGTTGGTGTTTGTTTGTGTTTCTGTGTGTTTGTTGGTGTTTGTTTGTGTTTCTGTGTGTTTGTTGGTGTTTCTGTAGGAAGATGGGTGGGGTGGGGAGTTGCTAGCTGTCTACTATCAGGTGTTCAACGAGGCGTGGGGGTGAAATAGCATAGCCTCAAATAAGATCAGTGGACGGAGTGGTCTAGCGGTAGAGAGCTGGACTGCTAATCCGTAAGTCTCGAGTTCGAATCCGGGTTCAAGTCAGTAGACTGTCCCTAGGTCCAACCAACTCTGATGGGTACTCATGTTAGGGAAAGTAAAGGCGGCTGGGCATAGTGCTGACCACACTATCTCTTCATATGCCGAGGTCACAGAAACAAGTGAACTCTACTTCACTTGCCCTATAGACCGTCAGGTTTGAAAAGGGAACTACTACTACAATAAGATCAGCTGTAAAGTGTATCTGTCAAATGGAAACTAAAACTTTGCCTGCCCCACCCCAGGGGCCAGATACCTGTACAGCACGTTGTCCTACACCCTGCTGGCCGCTGTGGTGGAGTCTGTGACCAAGAAGCCCTTCACGGAGACGGTCACGGAGACACTGAGGACCCTGGGGCTAGGGGACACCTGCCTGGACACCCATGAGGCCATTGTTTACAACCGAGCAAGGTGAAGGTCGTTTGTGTTTTTTTAAATTAGTTTAGTTTAATTTGTCTGTGTGGATTCTTAAAGCACTGGTCAGTTTAATTTGTCTGTGTGGATTCTTACAGTACTAGTCAGTTTAATTTGTCTGTGTGGATTCTTACAGTACTGGTCAGTTTAATTTGTCTGTGTGGATTCTTACAGTACTGGTCAGTTTAATTTGTGTGGATTCTTACAGTACTGGTCAGTTTAATTTGTCTGTGTATTCTTACATTACTGGTCAGTTTAATTTGTCTGTGTGGATTCTTACAGTACTGGTCAGTTTAATTTGTCTGTGTGAATTCTTACAGTAGTGGTCAGTTTAATTTGTCTGTGTGAATTCTTACAGTACTGGTCAGTTTAATTTGTCTGTGTGGATTCTTACAGTACTGGTCAGTTTAATTTGTCTGTGTGGATTCTTACAGTACTGGTCAGTTTAATTTGTCTGTGTATTCTTACAGTACTGGTCAGTTTAATTTGTCTGTGTGGATTCTTACAGTACTGGTCAGTTTAATTTGTGTGGATTCTTACAGCACTGGTCAGTTTAATTTGTGTGGATTCTTACAGTACTAGTCAGTTTAATTTGTCTGTGTGGATTCTTACAGTACTAGTCAGTTTAATTTGTCTGTGTGGATTCTTACAGTACTGGTCAGTTTAATTTGTCTGTGTGAATTCTTACAGTACTGGTCAGTTTAATTTGTCTGTGTGAATTCTTACAGTACTGGTCAGTTTAATTTGTCTGTGTGGATTCTTACAGTACTGGTCAGTTTAATTTGTCTGTGTGGATTCTTAAAATACTGGTCAGTTTAATGTGTCTGTGTGGATTCTTACAGTAGTGGTTAGTATGTTTTCAATCATTTATTTTGTTTACCAATTTTTTTATGCTGAATAATGAAGACATCTCTGCTGTAATTTGTCTCTGAATTTGTAGTCTAGCCTATGTTTTGATGGCTTACATTGTTTTATCGTTAAGGGTCATCCATTTATGACGTCCACTTTTTTTTCCTTATAAAAGTCCATATGCAGTCCATATGCGTCCACAAAAGTCAGTTTTTTTCTGGACCCTCCCCCCCCCGCGTGTGGACGTCATAAATGGATGACCCCTATAGGCATATGAGTAGCCATCCTTGTTTCTGCTGATGTAGGCAAAGATTGGATTGTGTTGAATAATAATTTGATTTCTAGTTCCCACCTTTGAATTCCAAAGATCAAATAGCTTTAAAATACGCCTTACCTAGAAAACTGTAGTTTTAGTATAATGGATGGCTGCTATAACTTTTTCAGTATCAACATTTTTTTTAAAATGTGAGTTCAGATACTATTTTTTTAGTGACATTGTTGAACTTTTTTCTTGTGATTTTTTTAAAATTTTCTAATGCAACTTACCTTTTCGTTTGCAATTAAAAAAGTAAAGTTACCTTTCAAAACTGATGGTTCATGGTGCAAACTATGTAGATTTCACCTGTTTCTGTTACCTTGGCAAATGAAGGGATAGTGTGGGCAGCTCTATGCCCAGCCGCCTTTACTTTCCTTAATGTGAGTTAGGTACCCATCAGAAGTGGGTGGGCTTATAATTGTTCCTTGGACTTGAACTTTGGTTTGCAGGCAATACTCTACCATTCAACCACACCGCCCATTTTACCACTAATGTCCAATGTTTAAATAACATGAAATTTTAAAAAAGTCATGTGATTCTACTATTACTTCTGTGTCCCTATGTAAAAACCAAGAAAGGTCGTGTGATTCTACTATTCTGTCCCAATAGGTCATATGTAAAAAACAAGAAAGGTTGTGTGATTCTACTATTCTGTCCTCATAGGTCCTATGTAAAAACCAAGAAAGGTTGTGTGATTCTACTATTCTGTCCTCATAGGTCCTATGTAAAAACCAAGAAAGGTCGTGTGATTCTACTATTACTTCTGTTCCTTTAGGTCCTATGTAAAAACCAAGAAAGGTCGTGTGATTCTACTATTCTTTCCCTTAGGTCCTATGTAAAAACCAAGAAAGGTCGTGTGATTCTACTATTCTTTCCCCATAGGTCCTATGTAAAAACCAAGAAAGGTCGTGTGATTCTACTATTCTGTCCCCATAGGTCCTATGTAAAAACCAAGAAAGGTCGTGTGATGAATGCGCCGTATGTTGACCTGTCCTACAAATGGGCAGGTGGGGGGCTGTTGTCCACTGTCGAAGATGTGGTCAAGTTTGGCAACATTCTTCTATACTCTGCCCAGCACAAGAAGAAAGGTAAGTCCTTCTGTAAGTCCCTCTGTTAGTCCTTCTGTAAGTCCTTCTGTAAGTCCTTCTGTAAGTCCTTCTGTAAGTCCTTCTGTAAGTCCTTCTGTAAGTCCTTCTGTAAGTCTTTCTGTAAGTCCTTCTGTAAGTCATGCTGTAAGTCCTTCTGTAAGTCATGCTGTAAGTCCTTCTGTAAGTCCTTCTGTAAGTCATGCTGTAAGTCCTTCTGTAAGTCATGCTGTAAGTCCTTCTGTAAGTCCTTCTGTAAGTCTTTCTGTAAGTCCTTCTGAATAGAATAAAGTTTTGGAGAAAAATGAATTGCACACCAAATGAACAGCAAGTAATCAGTATATAATAGTGTGGAACATTAGTACTTTATAAAGAAAGACAGAAGAATCAAGTTAAAAATAGATACATTCACATTTCCCCATGAGTGGTTCTATAAGCAGGTACTATGATTAAATAAGTCATCATCATTGTTGCTGTGGCCCTCTTGTGGAGCATCAGGACACAACCACACCTCTCCATCTCACTCAAGTTTTGGGCTTTTCCTCCATGATAGGTCCATGACATTCCAGCTGCTTGTTCTTCACTGATCTTTTCAAGAGTTTTAGATTTTAAAGTTAATTTGCTATAGCTTGCTGTGTGGAAAAATTTTCTTTCCTTTACATAAATCTATATATATATAATTCTCTTCTTAGATACCCTAGAAAACACCAAGCTGTCAGCACGCCTAGCAGCCCCCTCCCTACCACCCCCACCCCTACATGTTCTGGTGAGCTGTGGTTAACACTAAATGCTTACAATCGTAGAGCCAGGTTTAGTGACGGCTATTAGGGGCAGATAATTTAGTTTGAAGCGATTTTAACCTTAGGGGAGGTAACTAAGAGGAGGCTGCTTTCACGGGGAGGGGTGTAGGGTAGGGGTTGGGGGAAAGGGAGGGGGGGGTTTTAGTGTTTTAAAGCAAATATTTTCAGTGGCAGCATTGGTACTGTCGAATTCACAAATTATGAATTACTGAAAAGTAGAAAATAAAACAACTAAATAGTGGTGTATGATACGCAGCGGGTCGGCTCTTAACTTATAAAGTTCATTTAAAGGAAAAATATGAACATTCAGATAAATCTACATGTTAGCACCAAGGTGGTAATTTCAAATCATTTATTTAATAACAAGGGAAATAACTAACATTGCTTTCAGCATGAACCCTCTATTTAGAAATTTGTAAAATAAACATACATGTTTCTATAGATTTATATCTACAGAAAACCCATCTCTCATGGGTACCTAATGCAGGTAAGGAAAGTGAATGAAAATAATGGAAATGAAAAATAATAGGCCTAATGAGCGAGCTTTGATCACACTAACCCTTCTAATGCTTTAGTTACAGAAGCGGGCGAGCCCAATTTCATGGAATAGAGTGTTGTACATAATTTTTAAACCTCACTACTTCCAGAAAATATTATACCAGATAAAAAAAAACAGATTTTTTCCCCCCTTGATACCAATTTTGTGTGTCTAGCTTCAGTTAGAGCTAAGATGTTGCCTTTTAAAAATTTGTGGGCGTGGCACCATGATGTGTTTTGTTCATGCCAAATTTATTTTTATCTTCTTTTTTGACTGTTCAAAATGGTAAAAAAAAATTTCTGTAATGTGTTTACAAAATCTCGAGCCTTGTAAATTGCAATTCCTATTCCTGCGTTGTCTTTAGAGATAACTTTATTTGCAAAGTTTTTATTAAAAAATCAATTAATTTCAAACCAGTTAAAAAGAGTTATAAGATATGACTACTAACAAACAATAAGACTTAAGTTAGGAAAACTTGTAAAAAAAAATGCAAATCTCTATTAGTTGTGAGTTCATTTATTCAACCAAGTATATAGAGTTGACTTTTTAAAATTAACTTTCAGTTAATAACTCAAAGCTTTAAGGAAAATGTCTCATTTATTAATCACTCAGGAAATGTCAAAGATGAAACAAATATGTTATCCTACAGTTACTGAAATGTGAATATTATACATTATACATTATAATATCTAATTGTGTAAAAAAGAAATGTGCTTGTTAGAAAGTTTTAGAAAAAAATTATTTTCTTGCAGACTCAGGAGTGCGTGGTTTCCTTAAGTCTTCTACAGTCTGGAAGTTCTGGGCGCCAGAGGTCAAAACTGGGAAAGATTCCGCTTACGGGCTGGGGTTTGAAGTCCACCCTAAAAGGGAAAGTTTTGGGATGTGCGGACAACATACCTTTGGTGTAGGTCATACAGGTGAGTGGATTTGTTTTGTTAATTTGTTAGTCATACAGGTAAGTGGTTTTGTTTCTTTAATTTGTTAGTCATACAGGTGGGTGGATTTGTTTCTTCAATTTGTTAGTTATACAGGTAAGTGGATTTGTTTCTTCAATTTGTTAGTCATACAGGTAAGTGGATTTGTTTCTTTAATTTGTTAGTCATACAGGTAAGTGGATTTGTTTCTTCAATTTGTTAGTCTTATAGGTAAGTGGATTTGTTTTGTCGATTTGTGAGTTATACAGGTAAATGGATTTGTTTTATAATTTGTTAATTATACAGGTGGGTGGATTTGTTTCATTAATTTGTTAGTTATACAGGCGTGTAAATATGTTTCATTGAATACTTAGACTTACTCTTTCATGGCTTCCAAAGATAAAAATAAATTTATCAATCATAACATGCAGGTTGCCTTGCTGGAATTTATTTTTTTTGTTGAAAATTGTATTTTCTTTTAACTATGTGGGGGTAAAATTATTGTTTTTTCCACTAATGTAATTTTTCCGAATTCTCTCCCCTGCAGGTGGCGCTGTTGGTGTCAGCAGTGCTTTGTTTATCCTCCCAAGAGAATCTTTCACTTCCAAGAAAGGTCTCAAACCAAAGGACAACTCTCAAAAACAGGGTGATGCGGCCCCTTGTGGCTTAACCAACCAATCGAAATCTGGCTCTAATCAAGCTGTAGATTTCAGCCAATCACAGCTGTGTAAACAAACAACCAGTAAGAAGGGGGTAAACAAGAGGGCCGTACCTCCACAGGGTGTGGTTGTGGCAATCATCATCAACATGATTGATGTCTCCGTCAACGACGTCGCCCAGCAGATTGCACGTATGTTTGCGGATGTTGATGTATCTCATTAATTTGTATGTTTGCGGATGTTGATGTATCTCATTAATTTGTATGTTTGCGGATGTTGATGTATCTCATTAATTTGTATGTTTGAGGATGTTGATGTATCTAATTAATTTGTATGTTTGCGGATGTTGATGTATCTCATTAATTTGTATGTTTGCGGATGTTGATGTATCTCATTAATTTGTATGTTTGCGGATGTTGATGTATCTCATTAATTTGTATGTTTGAGGATGTTGATGTATCTAATTAATTTGTATGTTTGCGGATGTTAATGTATCTAATTAATTTGTATGTTTGCGGATGTTGATGTATCTCATTAATTTGTATGTTTGAGGATGTTGATGTATCTAATTAATTTGTATGTTTGCGGATGTTAATGTATCTAATTAATTTGTATGTTTGAGGATGTTGATGTATCTAATTAATTTGTATGTTTGCGGATGTTAATGTATCTAATTAATTTGTATGTTTGCGGATGTTGATGTATCTCATTAATTTGTATGTTTGAGGATGTTGATGTATCTAATTAATTTGTATGTTTGCGGATGTTAATGTATCTAATTAATTTGTATGTTTGAGGATGTTGATGTATCTAATTAATTTGTATGTTTGCGGATGTTAATGTATCTAATTAATTTGTATGTTTGCGGATGTTGATGTATCTCATTAATTTGTCATGGAAGAAAGTAAATTAATTTTTCATAAGTTAAATAAAATGTAATAAATTAACTAGTTGGATCCCAACGCTACTTTTCCTTTTTTATTTACTTTCTTTCTAGTATTTTGTTTGTTTAAAAAAAAATAATAAAGCTGAAGTTATCTCCCTTAAACTTTATTGAATATTCTTAGACAACACTAATGGTAAGTATGTCAAACTGCTGTAAAAAAACAGACTTTTCGCCCGCGTCGCCCAAATATAGCAGCTTTTCACTTCATAGTTTCGATAATAAAAAGGGCTCGTGTAGTAACAAGCTTGATACCATTAAAAAGTAGATTTTAAGTCCTCTAATTATGTGTAATTTTTATAGATGTTGATATCAAACAATATATCTCATTTACCAATTGAAAACTATCACTGAGATGATTTTTTAACGGCAGTTGAATAACTGATTTTGACCCCTCGCTAATTCAACTCACTGGCCTTTTTTGACCGTTTAACGTATTTCTTTACAAATACCTGTAAAATGTGCAGAATTGAATAACCTTTAATGGGATACAAAACAAAATAAACCGGTAGTGATCTCCCCTAAAATTTCTCGAATATTCTTATATAAAACAACAGGGGATGGTAACTCGGGATATAGTTATGATTTTTAATCCATTTTAAATACTTAAACTTTTTAAAATAGAATAGAATCTCATAAAAAAGAATTGCGCACCAAGCGAACGCCGAATAAAGATGTGTATAATAGTGCGGAATATTATTAGAACTTTATAAATTCACATGCGTTTTTGAGAAATTGGAAATAGCGTAAATTAGTACTTCCGGTCAACAGAAATTACTCAAAATTTGATAGAAGGTAGATATATTGATCTTTTACTTACTTGTGAAATTTCATTCATCTATCTGAAATAGTACTCAAGTTATAGGCTTTTGAAAAATTCAAATTAGAAAAAGTACCACTTCCGGTTATCGGAAATCGCTCAAAAGTTGATACGGATCTATGATTTTGATAAAATACTTATATATAAAATTTCATCAACCTAGATGTTACGGTACTCAAGTTATCGTGTTTACACACAGACTGACTGACACACACACACACACAGACATACGGTCAAGATTGCAAAATTATGTTTTTCCGTATCAGTGAGGTGTAAAACGTCGAGATTTTTACAAATCTCGATTTATTATTTTTTTTTGCACGATTACAAGACTTTCTCTATACGCATAATAAATGTTAAAAAAACTAAGAAATTTGAAAATTATCATGTGATTCTATCATTGTATAAAACATTTTATTAGCATATTCAGAAAGGTGGTCCTTTTTTGAAAATAAATTCATTTGCATTTTATTTTTTTTTGTTGAAAAATTGGAAATAGGGTGAAGAATTACTTCTGGTCACCGGAAATTACTCAAGATTTGTCAGAAAACAGAGAATTAGATCTCCAACATATTTGTGAAATTTCTTCTATCTGAAACAGTATAGGCTTTCGAAAAACCGAAATAAGAATAAGTTCCATCTCCGGCTTCAAGAAATTGCCGAGAACTACAAATTTGATATAACTAATAGTTATATATAAAATTTCGTTAACCTAGCTGTAACGGTACTCGAGTTATCAAGTTCACAGACCAACACACAGATATAATTGCAAATCTAAGTTTTTCCGACTCCGGGAGGTTTAACGCCATGTTGAGATTTGTGAAAATTTCAATTTTCTGCACGATTATTATAATTATTCTTCCACTATAGGCCTACTTCGTAAATATGAGAAAGTATTATTAGACCAGAGAACAATGGCCAAACGAATAATCTTTTTTTTTTTTTTTTTTTTTTTTTTTTGAAAGGATCAAAACGAGCTATATGCATTGATGACATAATTTTGGAGTGTAATTTCAGAAAATAATAATGAAATAAGTGTAAAGTGTTTTGATTTTGCGTTTTTACCTACCATGCAAAGTTTTGTTTTATTAAGTCTTGAAAAAGTTATCATAAACATTATTAAAACATGAAATTTTATAAATTGCAGTAATTAAACTTTGTTTGACGCTTTTAACATGTTATGCTTATTTTCAATTCGGTTTTTGACGCTAGGGATTTTACTTTTAAGTTGTATCCCCTGAATATTATTTAAATTATTGCATGGGAGATAATTCAGTGTAGCGTTGTGTTTTGCAATATCTCAATCTTGCCCTTGATATCGAATGAGGAAAAAATCACATAATGTGTGCATTTTATTATAAAGATAATTATAAATTACATAAAACAAAAGGGATTAATATTTCAGCTTTTAATAATAAGGTGGTATCATTATCTTTAAAAATCAACTCTTGTTTTGATAACCTGTGGGGTTTTTTAATCATTTTTTTTAAATATGTATTCATATTGTTAATAATCCCCTTAGATATAGCTAAAAATCATTTTCATGTTGTTAAAAATCAGTTTCTATGTTTTAAAAATTACCTTGTTCTTGTCACATTTCTGATTGGAAAATGCGACATATCACTATGTTTGCACATGCAAAAATCAGAGAATAAGAAAAAGTTTTCTGTATCCGCCCCATGTACCAACTGGTCTTAAACTAAAGGGTACTTTACTTTTTAATTATATGATAAATTGTAAAGCTGTGTCTTGAAATAGATGTAGAAAACTTCCTAGACCAGGGGTCGGCAACCTGCGGCTCGCGAGCCGCATGCGGCTCTTTTGATATCAAGATGCGGTTCTCCAGCTCCTTGCACAAATACTAATCATCTTAATCAAAAAAATAAAATATTTGAAATAAAAAAATGTTAGTGGCTCTTTAAAACCAGGGAAATTTTGAAAATTGTAACTTTTGGCTCTTCCGCCTCAAAAGGTTGCCGACCCCTGTCCTAGACAATTTATAAACTGAGAAAAGAAAAAGATTTTCTTTACCACAAAATAACAGGTATTAGTCCCATACCCTCCATAATGTAGTAGGTCTTAGCCCCATACCCTCCAATGTAGCAGGTCTTAGCCCCATAATGTAGCAGATCTTAGCCCCATACCCTCCAATGTAGCAGGTCTTAGCCCCATACCCTCCAATGTAGCAGGTCTTAGCCCCATACCCTCCAATGTAGCAGGTCTTAGCCCCATAATGTAGCAGGTCTTAGCCCCATAATGTAGCAGGTCTTAGCCCCATACCCTTTAATGTAGCAGGTCTTAGCCCCATAATGTAGCAGGTCTTAGCCCCATACCCTTTAATGTAGCAGGTCTTAGCCCCATACCCTCCAATGTAGCAGGTCTTAGCCCCATACCCTCCAATGTAGCAGGTCTTAGCCCCATACCCTCCAATGTAGCAGGTCTTAGCCCCATACCCTCCAATGTAGCAGGTCTTAGCCCCATAATGTAGCAGGTCTTAGCCCCATAATGTAGCAGGTCTTAGCCCCATACCCTTTAATGTAGCAGGTCTTAGCCCCATACCCTTTAATGTAGCAGGTCTTAGCTACATTTTCATCACTGAAAATGAAAACAAAAATGGCAAAACTAGATCATGTGGTTAAAATATTAGTTTTATTTTTTAAAATTAGCCGGCAGAAAGGGTTTTCGGAAGATCGATAACGAAATTCCTGTGCAGCCAATCAATATGTATCATACGAAAGTGAAACCTCAGGTTATAACTTAGGCCTGACAAAAATAAATAAAACTCCAGCCATAAACTCAAGAAAAAATATTTTCAATTTTTCAGAATCTGAAGCTTTTATAACATTGATTCTAAAATTAATCTGATTTTTTTAAGCCTTAAGTTTTTTTTTTTTTTTGTTTTTTTTTTTTGGCAGTTATGTTGGCAAAATTTTTGGGGGAAAAACACGTTTTTTATCATGTCAGCATTAATAATCGAACCCTTTTCTTTTAATGGCTGCCTCCATTGTGGATGTAACAAAAATATATAGTAATTTTTTAAAAAAAAAACAGACTGAAGAAGCTACGATATATAGGCCTATATATGAACAAACGACAAAACTAGTATGGGATTAGTTACCCTTAAGGGGATATGCTCCGTTTTTTCTGTTTTTTACAATTTAGTATCAAAAGCCTTTTGAATATTTTTACCGTGTTTGGCACATAAAGGTAAGTATTAAACAGCCAAAATAAAAGTGTTAAAAACAATTTTGGTTGTCACGGAAACCCGCAAAACATCCGCCATTTTTAATTTTTTGTTACTTGTAAAAACGCTAAGGCTTTTTTATTCATGCACTGATAGCAATCAGATTTAAACTGCTTATATTTCAGTATATATTAAAACTTTTGTCACGACAACTTTTTGAAATAGCTACTGTTCAGAAAAATCGTAACCTTTTTAATATGCAAAAGTTTCAAAATTTCATATTATTTACTTTATTTTTCTATGAAAGCCTTCACAATTCCCTCGTGACAGAAGTTTTATTTTTGCACGAAGAACAATTACTGAAAATATGGTGGGTATTATTTATTAAATTAAAAAAAAGTAGTAGGCTTTTTAGTGTTAAAAAACTGCGAACTCAGAAAAACAGAAAAAAGTAACCAAAAGTAGGTCACGAAAATATCATATCTGTGTAATTTATAAAACCGATTGTAAGCTATGGGTGTTTCCGAGGTGATGGAAAATACGATTAACAAATGCATGAGAAATCCAGCTTTCCGGTGATGCCAATTATGATTACAGATATAAAACTTTTCGTAGATAACTTGTAAGATTGGGGGGAAATGATTATTTTGTAATTAATATGTTAAAAAATGGTATTTAAAACACCCAAAAAAATTTCTCATTAAAGTTATTATTTTCTGAATACAAAAATGGACAAAGTATCCAAAAGTGATAAAAAAAAACATCACTAAATAAAATCAGGATTTGATTTTGTAACGAGCATATCCCCTTAAATAAACTCATAGAGTACATACGACCCCGGGGGCGGGGCGGGCATGTGGACGTTCCTCTCGTGCCAGTGTGGGTCGACGTTGCAGGACTTCGCCTTGCCGACGTCCATGGCGTAGCCGCTGTAGTTGTAGCCGCTGGTGTTGCTGCCGCTGTGGCAGTGCATGCAGCCGATCCACCCCAGCCTGTAGACGAAGGCGCCG